ACTGGGGATTGAACTCAGGCCCTTGTACTTGCCAGGGAAGTGCTTATTCCACTGAGCCATCTCCTCAGCCCCTAGATATTTTTTTCAAAAAAATTCTGTTTAAATCTCTCTATACGGTACTTCCCTCTTACCTGCAGGCTCACTTTCTATAGTTTGCGACCTGCAGTCAGTTACAACCAGAAAACATTAAATAGAAAATTCCAGAAATAATTCATAATTTTGAAATTATTCACCCTTCTGAGCAGCACAATGAAATCTCACACGCCCTACTATTCTCTCCTGTCTGAATCTTTTGTGGTCCTGTTCTACACTTCCCAGGACACAAATCCCCATGTTCTGTGTATCCATGCATTATGTACTGCTCCCTTACTAGTCCCTTATCTGTCACAGTATCACAGTACTTATTTCAAGTATCCCTTATTTTGTTTAGTAATAGCCTCAAAGTACGAGAACAATGACATTGGTAATGTCATTACAGTATACTGACCTAATTGTTATGTTTGCTATGTTTATTTACCTCTTTCCATGCCTCATTTATAAATTAAACTCTTATCACAAATATGCATTTATAGGAAATAATCATAGTATATATACTCATCCTGGGTATCCTAGGGGAATTGGTTTCAGGGTCTCCACAGACATAAAAATCCTCTTATGCTAAAGTCTCTTACATTAAATGGCACAGTATTTGTACATAACTTACCTAATTCTCCTAACTACTTTAAATGCTAGGTGAACAGCTGTTATACTGAATTGTTTAGGAAATAATGAAAAATTTTGTGCATGTTCAGTTCGCCTAAAATTTTAAAGACTTTTGATTTGTAGTTGGGTGAATCCAGCATGTGGAATCACACAAAGAGTGATGATGGCACAGGTTTGTTTCTACCTGCAAGTTCAGGCTTCAGTGGGGTTCTTGGAACAATAGTAACCCCTACAGATAAGAGACGGGTGATACTGCATACGTACTATTCATCTTGTGATATAGAAGTGACAGGTAGGAAAATTATTTGGTACAAATGGCTACCACAGAAATTTTTTTAGCTTTGCAACTCTACAGCATAACACAAACCACAGAAACTAACTAGTATACATAAAGAACATAAGAAAATGTCCACAAAAAATAAAAGGGGAAAAATTTAGGGGACAATGACACTTTCTATGAATTCAATACATATCACTTTAACCACCTTGAGATACAACCCAAAAACTTTTAAGAACTCATGAGAGCTTCTAGAACATCCAAACTTTCAACAAAGTTGAAATATTTTTTAGTTTTTCTTGAGACCAATATAAATTTCTTGTATATTAATAAATTTAAATGTAATCAACTGCATCATTAGCTCACTAAAGAAAGACACTGAGTCAGCATAAACTTTAAAATGAAGCAGACCAAATAGGAATTATAAACTCTACAGCATTTATCAAAGGAGAAAGACAAGACTGCTTTTTGGTTTAATGAACAGTTTTACACCAATAAATTAATAAACTGCTACTGTGGTAGACAGATCACTCTCCACTGCATTGGTTAGAATGGAACAACTGGGTGAATCTATCTTAACCCTGAGAAAGCTTGTAAGAGCCGAAGTTTAGACTCCCAAAGCTACGGAACGAAACATCAACCAGGTACTGTAGGATCCTACCCAAGAGATCATGGGATGTACTACATGAATATTTATATTTTATTGCCTCTTTCATTTCATAAAATGCTTATTAAGGGGGCCAGGAAGATAGTCAGTAGAATAAGTGCTTGACTGGCAAGCACAAGGCCTTGAGTTCAATCCCCAGTACCACAAAAAAAAAAAAAAAAAAAAAAAAAAAAAATCATGTGTTACTTTAAAAATATTCATGAATTATAACTAAAATGTACTATAATACTAGTTCAGTATTAACAAAAAAATTCCCTCCAATTCTCATCAATACCATCAATAAGAGCTAAGAGACAGGAAGTAGTTCCCATTAAGAAAAGCTCTTACCTTCCATACTGGTTCTCCTGTGCTGTTTTTAACATGAGGAACATTGAAATTCAACATACGCTTCAAAGCAACTGAAAATAAAAAGCTTTGTCAAACATAACCATTGTTTTCTTAGGATTTCATTTTGTCTCCATATTAATTATTTACTACTCAAGAACAAAATGTACGGATCAACTGATCAGATCAAAACTGATAATAAAAAATCTGTGTAGATCATAGGACTTGTAAAAATACTCCATCAATAGCTAAATAGTATGTGTTTGGGAAACTTAAAAATGTAAGGGCATCTGTACCAGATGAAATTGTAGAAAATGTTCAGGTAAAATTGTTTTTCTATTTCTAATAATTTCAGACTATGTATTATATAGTTGCAAAAACAAAAATTTCTTCTATCATGGTCTTGCAACAGCCTTGGTAGGTAACTGATTTACTTATTGCCTGACTGAAAGCACAGATTAAAACAAGACTTTCTAAAAACAAAAATCATGCATGGTATATTTAAATGGAGCATATACAAAATCTTTGTACAGCAGGTCTATATTTATCTAAGTGTACATTTTATAACTAATTCATCCTATCAGATTTAAAAGTTATGCTGCTTAAAATACTCTTGCTAAGGAAAAACCCCTCAACTTTCCTATATGGTAGTCAACTGACAATTCTAAGACAATATGCAATCTTAAAGAATCACAACAATTAGGATCTATAATTACAGTATTTTGCAGTTTTTATTGCTCATGTGTTCCAGTAGACTCAGTATTTTCTAAGGAAAATGATAATCTCTTAATATAACTCTCTGTGAAACTGAGATGACCAAATATGTCAGAAAATGTACTAGTTAGATTCACCTGTAGCCCAGTGTTTATCATTGAAAGCTTTAAAATGTTCCCGATCCTGAGCTGGTGATACACTTTTAGAGATTAGCAACCTTGTAACCTTCTAGGTTCATTTTTTTCTTTTTAAAGTATCTGTTACAGGGTCTCACTATGCAGCTCATCATTATTAATCTGAACGAAGTAGATTACAAGGTTGCTCATAATGATCCTCCTCTTTTCTGCTTCCCCAGGCTGGGGTCACAGGTGTGCGCCACCATGCCTGGACTCAGTGGCCAGCTCAGCTCCCTGGGAGCAGGGTGACATGGCCTGTGGTGCTGGAGATCAAACCACGGTCCCTGCGCTTGCCTAAACAGGTGCTTAGTCTGCTGAGCTATCTGGCTGGCCCTACTTGGTTCATTTTTAAAAGCATTAAGGAGTTGGTCAAATAGCTCAGGGGATTAAAGTGCCTGGTTAGGCAGATTCAGGGACCAGGGTTCCATCCTGGGTGTGCCTGCCAGCCCTGCCCCCAGGACGTATGGAGACTTTGATTTAGACTGGGGGTGGTGGAGCATGCTGTAATCCCAGCGCCTGGGAGGCTAGAAATAGGAGAATTACTATGAGTCCAATCTATGTAGTGAGGCCCTGTGGACTCTGTACTAAAATAAATAAAATAAAAGCATTAAGATCAGATTTTTATAAGTAATATGCAAAGGCTATGTAAGTAGCTGTTTTACAGTACTGTTTAGAACTACTGCAATGAGAAGAACAAAGTTTGCTTATGTTCAGTACATTTTTTTTTCTTCTGTACTTAGGACAGGGTCTACAGGGTGTACAGGGTCTCAATATATAGACCGGACTTGTAGTGATTCTCATGTTTTCAGCCTCCCAGGTGCTGTTCAGTACCTTTTGTTTCCAGTATTTCTGATTAATGGATGGTTGACTCCATGGAAGGAAAATCCATAGAAACAGAGGGCCGATTGTATGTGAGCATTTGTAAGTGTGTACATACACTTTTTGGTAAAACGTTAGTAACCAATGTCCAGTCAATCATATATATATGTAAATATATATATATATATATATATATATTTGCCAGTAATTTATGTCTCTTCAAAGACTAACATAAAAATATACATAAACAGAGACTATTTTAGTGGCTAAAGCTGAAACAACACAGGAGGCAAGAGTATCATTCCTTGATTAATTCTTCCAGTACTTTAGCAGACCTTTTCCTTCTGGCATGCTAAGTCTCAAAGACAAAAATCTCATTTTTAAAGAAAAGTTGTTCATCCTCTTGACATATAACAGCTTGGAAGAATTACAGAGTGGGCTGCCCACTGAGTCTCAGGTATTACATGTTTTCTACAGCTAGTCCTTATTAGTTAAGTGAAAGAGACCAGCACCAGCAGATAAAAATCTCACATTTGCTTGCTCAGGATTGGGAACTTTCTCCAACCCTGGGGCTTTAGGTAACATTTTCAGTGATATTTTGATCCTGTGGGTGTGTTATTGAAGTACATGACCTATGTTTAAAGAACGTATAAGAATGTAATTCTAAGGGCTGGGGAGATAGTTCAGTGGTATAAGCACCTGCCTGGCAAGTGCAAGGTCCTGAGTTTCATCCCCAATACTCCAAAAAAAAAAAAACGTGAGAAAGCAAGAGATTCCAACTTGCCTTTTCACTGTGGGAGACAAATTTAAATAATTAAAAAAAAAAAAAAAAAAAAAGGTCCGGCCAAATAACTCAGAGCCAAAACAAACAAACAACAATTCCTTCTCAACTTTGGGGGCCTGCCAGTTAGCTCTGTTGTTTAAGTGCCTGCTTATGCAAATGCAGTGGGGGCCTGCCAGTTAGCTCTGTTGTTTAAGTGCCTGCTTATGCAAATGCAGTCGGGCTCAGGATACTGTGGTTTGATCCCCAGATCCTCAAGCCTTACCAGACCTGCCCTCAAGGCATCCTGAGCCAGCCAAAAAAAAGGGGGAAAAAAAAATCCTTCTCAAATAGTTCAGCGAGGGGGCTGGGGTGATGGCTCAGGGGAATAAGCACTTCTCTAGCAAGTGCAAGGGTCTGAGTTCAATCCCCAGTTCCGCAAAAAAAAAAAAAAACACAAAAAAAACCACTTCAAATAGCTCAGGGAATTAAGCCGGAGGTACAGGAGGTTCAACCGGTGTGCCACGCAGGCCCTGCCCGCACAGCATTCTAAGATGGTGATTAAGACTGGATGCGATGGCGCACGCCTATAATCCCAGCTCTTTGGGACACTGAACTCAGGTGGATCACTATGAGTCCGATCTATGTAGTGAGACCTGGCAGACCCTTACTAAAAAATACAAAAACAAAGAATGTAATTTTACATTCACAGAGTTTAATTCCTAAGCCTTAAATTACTCTTCATAACTGAAATAATTTTTTTTTTATTGGCTCTAAATATACTACCTGTATTCTTATCTTAGTTAATGGAGTTTCACCCTTATCTAGATTGTTTTCTCACTCGCATACTGAATAAATATTGTCATTTATATTTACTATCCACTCATTCATTCAGCAAATGTTTAGTGCATGCTCACCATGTGTTGACCCTCGCTGGCTTTTGGGATCCAGCAATGAACAAAGTAGCCCAAGTGAAAAACTTCATGTAGTTTTCATTTTAGTTGGGGAACAGAGACAATTAACAAAATGAGTAAAACAAGGTAAGTGAGATCATGGTAAGTGCTATGGTGAAAATGTAACTGGGAAGGCAAAAGAAACTGTAATGATCAGGGAAGGCCTCCTCAGAAATAAACATTTAAGTGAAAGCTTAAAGGACATGAGGGAGTGAGCCCAGCAGTTATCTGTGGAAAAGTTCAATAAAAAGGAAACAAGGTGGGAAACTTTGTTCTAAGGTGGGAACTTTCTTGGTGCATTCAAAGAAGGGTAGAAAAACAAGAAGTGGGAGCAAGAACGTAAATGGAGATAAGATCACATAGGAGCTGGTAGACCAAGGTAAGATCACTTTGTCGTTACCATGACTGAAATGAAATACTACTGAAAGGTTTTTAGCAAATATATGGCATGATCAGTTTGGGTCCTATGTATAAATGAATGGGGGAGGGGGGTTTTAACAGCAAAGAGACAGAAGGCTATTATAGAATCTCAAGGTGGATTGCACCTGGCTGATATTGCACCTGGTGATAGCAATTCCAGTAGTTTGGTACTAGATGAATATTTGGAATAGAACTGACAACATTTACAGACAGATTCAACATGAGTCATCAAAGAGAAAAGTCAAGAAAATTACACGGTTTCTGACTGGAGCAACTAAAAAAGTGAAGCTGCCATTAAATGACAAGAAGAGAACTGAGTTCAGCGGAGAGGCTCAAACAATCTAGGAACCATCAGCACTACAATACTTAAAGAAGTTAGATGAGATTGCTGCAGGAGAAAAGCAGTTAGTGTGGGGCTCTGCAATGGTAAGAAGCAGGGAAAATGAGCAAGAACCGGCAATAGTTGCACACATGATGTAACCTACTCCCACCTACTGAATTGCATGTAAGGCTAGAGAGGGGAGGAATCCACATAGCTTTCAAAGAAAACAGCATCAGGGCCAGCGAGATAGTTCAGCTGACTAAGTACCTGATTAGGCAAGCACAGGTATTGGCGTTCGACCCTGGGAACTGCATGCCATGCCGGGCGCACTGAGCCGGCCACCAAGACCCGGCATGGTGGCGCATGCCTGTAATCCCTGTGCTGGGGAGGCTGAACACAGGAGGATCACTATGAGTCCCAGTTGCATAGTGAGACCCTATACCAAATTAAAACCAAACAAACAAACAAACGGCATCTGAGGTGAATTTTAAAGGAACAACAAAGATTTTTCAGCAAACCTAAAACAGGCATGCTAGTCTTTTTTTGCTTTAGTTTTCTCATCTGTAAAAGAGATAATAAGGGTTATAAAACCACCTAAAATAATTCCTGGCAACAAATGTACTGTAAATACCAACTATGACCTCACCTATCCAAAGAGTGAAAGTTCTTTTGTGTCAAAGTGTTTTGTACCTAGAATATTTGAGGATTTAGTTATTTCCCAAACAACAGGTAAATGTTTACTTCTGTTACTATAACACATATGAAAGGATTTACCCTCCTCTGAAAATAAGACAAAATAGTCATTGGTCGAACCCCAATCCCTGTGCTTGCCTAATCAGGTACTTAGTCAGCTGAACTATCTCGCCAGCCCTGATGCTGTTTTCTTTGAAAGCTATGTGGATTCCTCCCCTCTCTAGCCTTTCATGCAATTCAGTAGGCAGAGTAGGTTACTTCCTGTGTGCACTATTGCAGGTTCTTGCTCATTTTCCCTGCTTAACATTTCAGAGCCCCACACTATCTGCTTTTCTCCTGCAGAAATTGATCTTGCATGAACTGATAATGATGTGAAATCTTGCTATAATGAATTTTATTTCCTTAGGGGGAAAATAAGAAATTTTAACATTCTACGAAGTTTCTGCATATAAAAATTTACTAACATACAAATTTAACCTTTTGCAAAGCTACCTTGTATTGGTATGTTTCACAGATATGCTATTTAACATGTAGTGCCATCTAATTCATTTATGTTGAGCTATCAGAACAACACTCCTATCATCAGCACTTTGGTTTACAAATACCATGTATGTCAAGTATTCCCCAAATCTTACACAGGTTTTTCCGTATTTCTATATTCCATATTCTTACATTTGACCTCATCTGACAAAGTTATACTAACTTATACTAAACCTATATGCTTTGTGTGTCATTATTGGCCTGAACCCATTTTTTTTTTTTCTTCAAATGATGAGGAAAAGAATTAGGTACTGCCCAAATCAGGTTTAGCCAAAGGCCATCTTACTGTAACCATTTTTCCATGCAAAAAGTAGATAATTTCAGGAGATGGAATTTCCATATATAAAACTTTCTTGATGGTGTATTTCCATTGGCTCTACAGAATAGATTCTTAACTTTAGAAACAACTAGAGATGCTGTGCTGGCCCCGCCCCTGGGGAGCGCTGAGATGGCCACTGAGACTAGGCATGGTGGCAGCTCCTGTAATCCCAGGACTTGGGAGGCTGTAAACAGGTGGATCACTATGAGTCTGATCTATGTAGTGAGACCCTGTACATCCTGTACTAAACACATTTTTTTAAAAAAAGACAACTAGCTAATAGGTATAAACAAGTCATCAGAAGTTTACAAAGATTGGGGCAAAACAACAAACAAAATCTAAGACGTAAAAAAAAAAAAATCAAAATTAATGGGATATTTATCTTTATCATACTTCACTGCAGAAATTCAACGCCCCTATGGAAAAAGATAAAACTATTAACTGTGTCACCATTCAAACAATTGAAAGGAGCAAGCCAGTTAATCTGTTTTTCTCATTCTTCATTTCCTTCCAGCAAACCCAGGAAGAAAATCTTCATCCTTAGGCGTTTTTCTTCAGGCTCCCTCAGAACACTGGTGCAAATGAAAGATGGCACAAAATAAGCCACTGTGGAAAATGCCGCCTCAACTGCCCAACTGTGGTGTAAACGCCGGAAAACAGAATGCTTTAAACGTTAAGACTGGGAAAAGTAAAAATAAAAACTCGGAGACGTGAAATACAAACAGAAACAAATGTAGAGACTCTTAAGTGGCAACAAGAGAAAGAACATACCAGCTGCCAGACCGTGCCGTGCCGGCCTTCTAAAGCTTAATGATCTAAGAAGGACCACAGCACAACCCCATCCCTGAAGCCCATTTTCTTCCACTACGGGAGAGGGACCGAGTCCTTAAGCTTCGGGCATCTCTCTCCCACAGATTCCAGGGGCGGGGCTCTTGACGCTCCAGGCCACTGACTCCTGAAGTCTGTTTCTGGGCTGCACGAACAATGACCGAGAGAGAGCGGCAAGCAGAGGAAAAGCATGTCGCTGCGCAGAATGAAAGTAGAGAGAAGTAAGCCAGTACCTGTCTGCCTCTCTCGAATACTAGCTGTCGCCGCCATCTTGCCTCCCACCATCCACCGCTTCACTGGCAAGCGCAGCCCGAAGATGACGTGGCCGTCCCTGCCGCCCCGGAAGCTGAACGCGAGTGGGCGGGGCCAGAGGCGTTCTCGGCCCTCAGAACCAATCGCTGGGGCTCTCCGAAAGGGTTCTGTGCTACAGAAGTTCAAGATCTAGTGGCTGTCAATGTTGGAACTGCGTTTCCAATCAAGCCATACTCAAATGTTAGCGACTTTAGGCTGATCTCATGTAGGCGCATGATTTGGTGCTGAGAATTTAATTCCTAAATCATTACCTTGGTTTTTACAGATTAAATGGTGATAGTCCTCCTTATGATTAAAATAAATGCAACTAGTATTTATTGCTGATTTCCAGTGCAGCAGGGGTCTCATTTCTTCTCTAAAACACAGAAAGCTTTGTAATATTGATGTAAACTGTTTATCTCACACAAAACGGTCTAACTCTGATAGTTTTTCCTGCAAGGACACAGGAGCAAGGAAAGTAACAAAACAACAACAACAAAAAAGCAATTTTCCTCGTTCCTTTTAGTGGTGACAAACTCACAGTACTTGGGGGGAGGGTTGGTTAGTAGTGCTGGCGTTTAAATATACACGTGAAGCGATGTCATTTCAAGATATAGCCAGTACTGCTTTCTGTGTTGGATGTATTTTATGTGTGCATATGTCACAGCTACCTTGGTATCTTCAATCAACTCAAGACCTTTATCTTTCATTGCCATTTTCACTTTGAGGAAGAGCCTGGAGTTGCACAGTTCCAGACTATGGCACTTACTCAAGGTAGATGAGTATACACGATGTTTTTAGTTTTTATAAGCCTGTTTATACATTGGATGGCCATATTCTTTTATCACACCTCAGAAGGATGCTCATGAAAGAGTTATAGAACAGTTTCACAAAGTGGAAAGAACAATGGGATAAGTGTTCTGAGCCAGGGGGAGTACTCTGAGGGTGATTAAAGGCAGTGTCTTTTATTGTAATAAAAATATTAAACATTCACCATATACTTATATATGTATGATATAAAATAAACTGCCCTGACCCAAACTATGGGCAATAAGTTTGTAAATTTGTAAGACAATGTACCAATAGAAAATAGTAACAGTAGACAGCAGGGCTAAAATATAATATGTTGCATTATTAGAATAAGAACAAAAATAACCGAAGACTTTACAGTGCTAGTTAACCTAATGTACTCTATACATTTCTCTGGCTCTATCCAGGCTTTGATCTTAAGTAATTCTGGCAAAATATTCTACACTAAGCAATAATTTTCTTACAGAATATCCCCAAACAGCTCATTTCCTTCTCCTGGAAGAGCTGCAAAGCATCTCATTCAATTTTGTCTAGATTTTAACTTTGTTAAATCCCAGCAAATCAGTTTATGTAAGCACTTCATATTTAGTGACATCAATAATTTAGAAAACTTCATTATAAACATCATGCTCTTTATTAGATCTGGCCATTTTTAAAAGGGGGAAATACAGGCCAAAATATAAACCACCACCTAGCATAACACCAGGCATAATAGAAGGTACTGGCATGCACTCAGAACAGATAAGGTTCACAATCAGAACTAGAAAACCATGTCTCCTCAGGGCAATCCAAATTTTCCTAAACAAAAGGTAATATACATTCAAGTAATTCATCATGAAATGTGTTTTTATATTTTGTATTACTTGAAGCACAGAACTTTGTATTATATTAGAATCAGAAAATTAGTTTAATAGCTTACTGTAAAAGTAACAGTGATGTGATGGTCACTATGAAAGAATTACACATTATAAATAGAATCTTTCTTGTTATAACCATTTTCTTATAATGACTGAATGTCAAAGTCCAAGTAACTGAGAAAACTTACCCATTATATCCCTCCTTAGCATTTAGTGTAAAGTTCCAATAGCTTGCATGTAATTGGGGGGGGACGACATGCAAATATATATAACAGAAATCAAAGTGAATTCTGATTTAGTCATCAAATGAAAGTTTTTTACTTAAAAAGTTCTTTATAACATGGTAAATATTACAACGTATAAAACCATAAGGTATTTTCTCATACTTTAAAGAATCTTTACCTTAAATACTAAAACACGAAAACAAGTAAGTACAAGAATATGTAGTTTTATATAAAAGGCGTTCAGATAATATTCCCGTACTATGTTTAAAAACTGTTTGAAACAATGAATATAAACCTAAACCTCGGACAATAGATTATAGTTTTCAGCAATATAAAGAGTAAACAAAATATGTTAGTTAAAATATTTAAGAAATGCAAACACACAAAGGCTTATATATAGCATGATTCCTTTTAGTAAGAATTTTGCTATAACATGAAAAAGAATCATAATGTCTGTTTAACATAGTAACACTGCAGAAATAAATAACAAGTCTTTCTGATATGGCTTGCCTATACAGATGAACCTAAAAAACATACTAATGGAACACCCTTCAAACCAGAAAAATTTCATAATGTTTCACTTTAAGAGGTAATATCCTAAATATTATCTTACTACTAAAACCCTGTTTAGGCATTTTTGTAATGAGGAATTGAGTGTTTTTGACAGCAGTTAACCCAAACAGATTGCCCCTTATCCCATCCCATGTAATATCTTAGAATAAGGGTAACTTGATAAAAATGAGGTAATAAAATTACACTAGAATTAGATTTTAGCTTTCCTTTGGTTTTAGAATACATTACTTATATCAAATTAATTTTTGTATAATTAGGTATGATTTAGCAGAAAACAGGAGCTTTGTTTCATTTTTGATAACAGATTTAAGATATTAGTTTTTTTCCAATTTTTTTCTTTTGCAAGGGTAGAAATATGGGGACATGATGATGAGACTGTATATATTCAAATTATTAGATGATTTTTTGTTACTTCTAACAGCATTAATATAGTTTAAAGTTTGTAGAAGAATACACAAAATCACAAAATCATGTGAGTTTTCATTCTATTTGTTTCTTTTTTAAGTTTATTTATACATTGCTAATATAAAACCAGGTACATTTCCTTTTCATCACCTTTTTTTTTCTCTTTCTTTTTCTTAAATTTTTTGAGACAGGATCCAGCCATGTAGTTCAGGCTGGCTTTCAACTCACTATGTAGTCCAGGCTAGCCTCAAAGTCAGGGTGATCCTCTTGCCTCAGATTCCTGAGTATTGGGCTTACATGCTTCTATCATAATGCACAGCTAAAAAGCAGGTATACTTCAAGAGTAAGTAAGACAACTGTATAATGCCATGATAGTAGCTTATCTATGAAATAACCATCTAGATTATAAGTGTCAAATAGCAAATCAAACACATGATAATCTACATTCAGATACATACAATGACTATGGATCAAGCATATTGAACAACACACGTAGGATACAGGGGGGAAAACCCTCCATGATTTAAATCATGGCTTTATAGAAGATGCATTTTCATGACATTTTATTCACCTCAGGGAAGTGTTTTTAAGCCTATAGGAAATCCACTCCAGGATAACTAAAATTCTACTTTCTATTTAATACTTCCTATGAGGCACAATATAATTTCAGGATGGATCATTTATATATAAATCAGTAATCTAAAAAGATCAATTAATTTAGTGCCATTCTAGAAAAATATACATATACTGCATAACCCAGTATGCATACTTTTATGAGGCTTTAACTAAAAAAAAAAAAAAAAAAGGTTTTTGAGACAAGATCTTACTATGTATCCCAGATTGGCCTTGAACTCTAGCGATCCTCCTGTTTCAGCCACACGAGAGCTGGGATCACAGGAGTGCACCACCACACCTGGCTACTTTTTTATTTAATGCTTAAAGAATGTGAAAATTGCATAAAGCTAGAAAAATTATGTCACCCTATAGGCAATCCTAATTTATAAAAACATTAGTTTTTGCATATTTACCATGCTCCTATGCCTGCTTAAATCTGTACAACCATTCTAAAAGTATATTGAAGTTTATGAAGAATGAATTTTAGAAAATAAAAATATTACCAATATTGACTAGAAGACCTTCACAATTCTTTTTTTGTTTAAATGGCAAAAACATTCCTTTATATATACATCCTAAGTTTTAATGGGCCAAGAGGATAACAAATTTGTTCAAAAGTGATGATTAATAGGTTTCTGAAACAAAGGAAAGTTATCAAGAGCAGTTTTTTAAAAAAGCATTTCTTTCTACGAGGAAATATTTTAATATCCACTGTAGTGAGAATATTTTTCCTTTTCTAGTCTTAGAGTGTTTCTTATGGTGAAATCCATATTTTCTTGAAACTTTTTATATGTACTGGTGATTGGGAGAGCTAAACAGTTATTACACTTGTTTCCAATGGGAAAATCCATATGCAGACATTCAATTGAAGGAGCAGGTTTAAATCCGGTAGGTGGAACAGAATTGCAGCCAGTGGCAAAAACAAGAATGTCTTCCATTGTTGTCACAGATTTACCATCTGAAAAGTTAAAACAATAAAAAAGTAAGAACAGAGCCATATTACATAATGTTATCATCACTACTTCTTTCCCCAACTGAACTGGAATACTGAAGGGCACAGACTACCACTTATATCTTGGGCAAACTAAATCACTAAGCAGTTATTAGTTGGCTAACAGTACAGTCAAGAAATGAATCTCAATGTAGAAAGACTCAATCATTTTATCCAACTATGCACTATGTATGTTACCACTTTCAGATCATCACCAATTAATTTATAAGTTTAACAAATAAAAAGAAAAACTAACTGGTGAATAAAACAGCTAATTTAAAAGTAAATGCAGTGATTTTGCATTGTTAATACTCAATGACAACTATCACTAGCATAGTCCTAAAGAATATATAAAAAATAATTCAATTTAACTTTCAACTGAAAAATATGAACTAAATGATGAGTTTTAAGACTACTATATACTCTTGTCAGGTGAACTGGTGCACACTATAATCCTAGCTAATCAGGAGGCAGAAGGGGAAGGATTCCAAGTGCAAAACCAGCCTGATAATTTAGTGAGATTAACCCAAAATAAAAAGAGTTAGATGTAGCTCAACTCTTCCTGCGTTCAGTCCCAAGTACTAGAACAGAAAAAAACCCACTGTTTTGTGGTGTTATAATCATCTATGTATTTCATATTTTCTATAAAAAATTCAGCTCAAATTATGTAGAGGAAAACAAACTGCAAAATACAGATTTATTCTTTAACCTTCTTTCATCACTTCCAATTCAGTCATGTAAATATGCTTTGAAATAATTTTTTTTTTCTTTTTTTGAGGAACCGGGGATTGAACTCAAGCCCTTGCACTTGCCAGGGAACCGCTTATTCTACTGAGCTATCACCCTGGCCCCTGAAACGAATTTCTTTCGTAAATTTGGAGTTAGCAGATATATCTTACAACTTAAAATTGCTATGCTTTGTCTTAGTACTATTAAGAAGCACAACTCTGCAAGAAATATGCTGAAACAAAAATTATGACATAATCTGAGATTAAATAACTCTGAGATAATTAAATTTAAAAAAATCTGCATACCCTCAACACTCTGTAGGTAACTGTTCCAAAACCCCAATGCTGGTACATTAGGTAATGTATGCACAGTAAAAAGGTCTCCAAGGATTTTTGCAGAAAGAGTCTCAGGTTTATGACACAGGATGTTACAAAATGCTTCTGGGTACATCTGAATTTTCTCCAATACACCAAGTGTTTTCAGACCCTGCTTAAAACTGAGAATAAACATAATTAGCCCATATTCATGCATGTGTTTGGTACTACATGATTAGAGAATTAACATTTGCATTCAACTTACCTCATATTTCTCAACTAGCTAAGTTTTTAAAACCCACAAAAATTACCGTATATAATTTGTAATAGCCAGAACTTGGAAACAACCAAAATGCCGGTCACATGTGGAATGGTTGAAAAAGATGTGGCACTTTTACATAATGGAGTACTACTCAGCTCTAAAGAATGATAAACTTGAAGCCTTCATGTTTAAGTGGATGCCCCTTGAAGATATACTTATTAGTGAAATAAACCAGACCCACATCTGTAAATATCGTATTATCTCCCTAATATAAGGACTTACAATTCCGTATATGACTAGGTTTCTAAATTTCTTTGTAAAAATATGTAAATGCTTATTTCTACTTTTATATAATTATTTTTCCTTCATATTCTATGAGGACATAAAGTTCAACATATCAATATCTGACAGAAAATACCTGTTCCAGGATATGCCAAAATGTTTAATATTTCTACAGATAGGATAAACCATACTGCATATATTGCAGGTTAAAAATTAGCTTCTTTTCTGGAGGGTTAACAACCTAAGTTAGCAGATCAAAATTTGGAGAAAAGGAAGGGCTGCATGATTAGCCAACATTTTGGCCCTCGCCTTTCAAGGTCAGTGAAGACTCGGAACATAGGAGAACCTGTACTGTAACAACATGCAACTCAGTTGTGCTCCAGACTTTCTGATCAAGAAGATTATGGAGCCACAGAGAAATGTTTTTGAGGATTTAAAGTGAGCCTGGGGAGAGTCACATGGAGAGAAAAAACATTTTCTCAAGCTTTCACAGAGAGCAAATTGGTCAAGCAATGGCCATGACTCATCCTCAGGTCAGACACTGACAAAAGAATGTACAAAAGGTGGTACAGGGCTACAGGATAAATCCTGAGAGTACTTGGCTGACCTTATCAGATACAAAAGTTACAATTCTGGGTATATAGGTCTTGCTATATCTTGGTCTTAACCATTCAGTAGAAAAATATAAAAATGAGGTATATAAAGTAAATCCATATTAATACGATGAGCTGTAAAGGGCTCAAGTCAATAACTTCTGAGGATAACCCACTAATATTATAGACTGATAGACAGTTATTAGATGTTTAGGTGAATTCAAACACTCATAATATTTAGATGCCAATAGAATATTCACCACTGACAGGACAAAAAAATAAATAAATAAAAAGAAAAAAAAAAGAAAAAAAAAGGAAATAGAAAGAAGCAGTCAATGCTCTAATTAGCTTCGTCTCCTTTTTTTCAATTGTTTGTACTTTTTCTTTTCTTAATTTCTTATACATTGCTCCAGTTTTTTCTTCTTTCAATATCCGGTAATATGAATAGCTGGTTGTAAGACAATACCATGTATTACAACAAATACTGTGAAATTCATATTACTTTGTTAAGTAAAATTCTGTATGAGTTGTCAAAAATTTTTTTTAAAAATTACCACATATATTCAGATACAAAAAAAAATACTATTTTACTCTTAAATACCTAAGCAAATACAATAATATGAAATGAATATATGACTAGTATTTGTGTTTCAGGCAGCCAAATTAGATACAAATATTACAGCCAACCTGATAGGGCCAGGCCCTCGAAGGAGGTAACATGGAGGACAAGATACCTTGAAACTGTATGTGGGATGGATGCTCCCACTGTGGGCCAGACTTAAAGACTAAAGATCATACAAATGCTGACCTCCCTAAAGATCAGCATCTGGGATTTGATCATCACCCTGAGGGAGCCAGGAAGAGTCATTAATCCAGCTATTACCGGCTAGCTACTGGACAAAGTCTTGCCATATATTCATGCCTGCTTGCTACATGACTCACTTCCCCATTTGGTCCTGGACTTAATCAATTTTACCGAGCAATAGTGCTTGTAATCTCATTGGCTGACCATAGTTTTGTCCCACCTCATGCCACCTAAGTGAGTTCCCATGTTCTCTACCTTAGACCCTTATGGTTTTACACTATAAAAGTCCCTGGAAGAGACAGTTTCCTGTGGACCACCTGCTCAGGGCCCCCCTCCTTTCCCTGTATGGGACAGGAGCTTTTTTCCTCCCAATAAATATATTCTGCTTATAACATCTGTTTGTTCCTAAAATTCATTCTTTGGTTTTAGAGAATACGAACTCGTCCCAACTATACTTCAGGTTGGGGATTTCATTTCTTCCCCTATATCATTTGGAAATCATCAACTGAGACCATTAGATGGAGATATGAGTTTGCTTTTCTTTCATAGATTCTAAATTGGGATTCATTTAGATAGCAAATTTTTATACTTCAAATGTTGATATGTCTTTGCTCATTGCTCATAATTGTTCATGCTTTGCCTCAGTTTTGTCTCATATAGTTCTGTTAAAATTGCTTATGCTTTATCTTTTATATGGTTTTGTTAAAATGGTCAAAATGTTGGTAAATCTAAATTAAAACATGGAAATGTTGCAAGGGTATGATATTTCTCTAATGGGACATTTTATGACTTTTGTATTTGTATATGTTGCATTTGAACTAGTTGTCAAATGTACTGGTACACGTTGCTTTAACTTTAGACAACAGCACTAGAGAGAATAACCTTAGTAAGCCTCCTAGTGGACTTTATGTAAACTTCGGTAAAATGGACTTTTAAATCTAGCTCAGACTTACAAAACATACATTCCTATATATGAAACAAGGGACTCCTTTTGCCAAGTAAATGACATTAGGTTGGCAACTGTTCTTAAAGACTTGGCAGACAGGTTTCACTGGACAAACTGGCTGATGTCCCTCTACATGCTAGAGGAAATGTCAGACCTACTCTGTTTCAATTTCCTTTCTTTGACCTTACTCCTAATTTTCCCACCTCTTTGTACTTTCCTTTTTAGAGGCATGTAACATTAGGAAAACTTTATAGACTATTCCAACTAAGTGAAGCCCTCAGAAAATGAGCATTTGTTAACGTCAAATACAGGGAAGTCATTTTAGAAGGACACATACCCCATCTCTGGGTCAGATGAGAAAAGAGGACTATTCCTGTCCAGAAGGACACATACAAAAGCCATGTCCTGGCTTAGTATTCTGGGCAGGTCTCCTTTGGGAGGCTAAACCTGTGACACGTGGAGAGAACTGACTTCTGGGTGACACCAGAAGGAGCTATCTCCTACCTCAGAGTGCTGGGATTACGTGCGGATATGGGCTACAATGCCCAGCTAATTTAAAAAAAAAAAGCGAAGAAAAAACCCCACAGTTTAAGTCTAGGTAACGCCTTGGGTCACAGAGGTGAGAGCACTGGAATAGGTTACATTTTCTTGTTGTAGCAAGCTCAAATTGTGCCAGACTATTTTGATAATCTGCCACAGAGTACTGCTTGCAAATGTTTTAAATTAGTCCATTTGTAATTTCATTTTTTACAGTAGCTACCAGAAATTATGCATGAAACAAAGTCCAGATCCTTTAAAATGGCTTCCAAAGTCCTCCACTTCTTTCTAGTTCTTAACTTTCATTTTCTGCTTAAAGGATATTTTAGTCAAAGTTCAGTGCACCTTTAAAAGAATCTGTTTACAGTAGTATTAGGGATTAAGTTTAGGGCCTTAGTACTGACCTACATCTTCAGCCCTTTTATTTATTGAGACAAGGTCTCAAAAAGTTGCTAACTTGACCATGGGGGTTTCAATTTAATGATCCTCATGTCCCAGCCTTCCACAGTGCTAGGATTACAGGGATAGGCCACCATACACGGTTTTAAAAATTACTTTTAATTATGAAATATTTAAACTTACATAAAACTCAGAAAATAAAGGAAAACTACCATTATGCAATTTAAAAGTAACTTTTTTCATGTTTGCTCAGAATTTGTAAAGAATCTTCTGTTCACTGGTTAAATCCTACTCATTATTTTTCTTTCTCCTGCTCAGAAATTTTTAAGAAGCATCCTGAAACCTTTCTACAGTTTGCATGTTTTCATTTTTGTTTCCCTATATATATATCCCTAAATAATAGCTAGTTTCTTGCAGCTTGTATAGGAACTTTCTTTTTCTTTTATTTTTTAAAGTTCAAATTCCATTGATTTTTTTTTTTTGGTTAGTACCGGAGATTGAACTCAGGACCCTGTGCTTGCCAGGCAGGCATTTACGCTACTGAGCTATTGTGTGGAAACTTGGGCTGGGAAGATGGCACAGTAGAATCAAAAAAAAAAAAAAAAAAAAAAAAAAAAAAAAAAAATGTGTGGGAACATTCTATGGATGCGTTCACACTGTATTTTTACTATAACTTGCTTTTTTTGAGTAATTTTCCTACTGTAACTGTTACTATATTAGGAAGCCTATTTATTGAGAATTGCACTGCCTTTCTAGATGTTTTATTCCTTGCTGATTTCTGTATTTTGCTTTCTAAATTCCAATTCACCCCTTTTAATAGATACAGTAATTATTAAAGTTACTCTTCCCTCAATATTTTAATAAGGATTTTGATATCAATACTGAGTAAATATATTTACTTTCTGAAGAATACAAAGACTTGCTAACATTTATAACTCCAATAGCTCTCATTCTTAAGAATATTTATTTAATTTTTTTTTCTAAATTTATATATTTGGAGTGCCGGCCAGATAGTGTAGTGGACTAAAGCTCCTGCTAATGCAGATGAAGTGACTGGGGTTTGAACCATTGGACTCTCATGCTGGCCCCGCACCCTGGGGCGCGCTGAGATGGTCCAAGACAGGACTTGGTGACAAGTGCTTACAATCCCAGCTCTTGGGAGGCTGAACACAGGAAGATCACTATGAGTCTGATCTGTGCAGTGAGACCCTGTACACCCTGTC